GATGACAAGGATCTACATGTGACCTCCTCCCTGGGGGACGGACAACAGAAAAGTGGGTGAAGGGAGACATCGGACAGGGCAAGATATGACAAAATAATAAGTTATAAATTTCAAGGGTTCATGAGGGAGGGGGCAGTGGGAAGTGAGGGGGAAATGAGGACCTGATGCCGGGGGCTTAGGTGGAGAGCAAATGTTTTGAGAACGATGAGGGCAATGAATGTACAAATGCGCTTGACACAATTGATGTGTGTATGGACAGTGATAAGAGTTGTATGAGCCCCTAATAAAATGATTTAAAATAACATTACTAGAAGGTTATCAGGGATAGGAAAAGGAAAGGCAAAAATAGCCACATAAACTGATGCAGAAAAAAACACAGTAATCAGACAATTTGGGGAACTTGGTAATGGAGGCACAAGGAAAGGAACTGCTTGTAAGATTGGAGTGCCAGACTTCCCTCTTATCTGAAGGACCAAATTCATTTTATCAGTGGGAGGAAGATACATTCCAACAGGTCATAGAGCAAAATTTCTACCAATTAGGTCATAAAGCAAATTATCTCAGTGAGCCCAGAGGCCTTCTTATTGCTTGTTAAGGATTTTGTAATAAACATCATACTTTTATATTTTTAAAAGCACTTCCATGAATAGCATCTCATTTTGAGTTTAGGTGGTCAGTTGTCCTAGGTTGCCTGGGATCAAGGGGTTTACCGGGACACATGACTTTCATCGCTGAAACTAGCAAAGTCCTGGACAAACTGGGAAGAATTAGTGACCCTAAAGTAGTTTAGCTCTCTTTGTAGTCTTCACAGTTGGTGAGATTGGGTATCGTTATTTTCATTTAATCTAGTGGTGCTTAAAGTGTGGTTTTTCCCATCTAGTAACATCACCATCACCTGGGAATTCGGTAGAAATGCTTAAGTCCTAACTGCCTTCTTCTCAAATATACAGACTCAGAAACTGTGGGGGTGGGGTCGATCAAACTGTGTTTTTATAAACCATCTGTTTGAGAGCCACACCTTTAATAAATTGCAAACAGCCTTAAACTAGAAATCCATTTCAGATATAATCATATTCTAACCCTATAAGACAGGGAAGAGCTGAGTTCCCAAAACTCTAACTCTTCTTCTTCTTCTTTTTTTTTTGACTATGACTCTTCATAGGAGTAGAAAGCCCCATCTTTTTCCTGTGGGGTTGGCTGTTGATTTTTGGATCACAGGCCACTACCCCACCAGGACTCCATGGATGCGGAGTCTTTGCAAACAGCACATTATACGTGCCTCAGCACCAGGCCCTAGTACCCACTCCTACCAGGTGGCCTCGAAATCCACATCTCTGCCCTGGTGGTATTGCCACTTGCAGTACACTTTGGTGGCAAAGCACCGGTCCTTCACTTCCGGGAGGGTGGTGAATTGGTCTTTAATGAATCCTTCAAATCCAGACTGGGTCGTTTTTAAGACCTTCAGGTCTTTGATTCCAGAATGAATAACCGGAGGTCCTGTTTTAAGTTTAAAAAAAAAAAGGAGGAAAGAGATGATGAGATCAGAAACTAGAATAAAACAGTGTTTTCTCACTGACACCTAGCACTGAGAATGCTGGTCATTAAGACATGCCACATTATGTTAATAAAAGGAAATGCTACTCTGCTCCTTGTTCTCTTTCTTCGTTTCGCCTCTTCAGGGTTCGCTACTCCAATACAGAGTTAGAGCCTCAGAAACCACAGGGGCAGTTCACCCCTGTCCTATAGGGTCACTCTGACTCAGGATCAACTCGATGGCAGTGAGTTTTGGTTTGGGGGCTGGGTATTTCCGCTTCAGTCCGAGTAATGAGGATGGTGTGCCTTTCCTTCTTATCTGGATTCCACAAATCCCTGTTCAGACAAGTTAGAGCCAACCACAGCATTGAGAGGACATGCAGCATCCACATAAGACTCCTTACCCTCACTTGTACCACAAACTGCACGTCCAGGGCTTCCTCAAACCACCCTCGGCTGTGATCATCTCTGGAAAGACTCACAGAATGCAATGCGGCTGTAAGAGCCGCTCAGGCTCGTGGCCATCAATTCAATTCTGATTCATAGCAACCCTATAGGTCAGAGCTGAACTGCCCCTCGGGCTTTCCAAGACTTTAAACCATTAATTAAGTACACAGCCTCATCTTTCTCTGACTGAGCAATGGTGGGTTCTGAATTGCTGACCTTATGGTTAGGAGCTCACATAGTGGGCATGACCCACTATGCCAGCAGGGATCCTTCTTGTAACCATAGTCACCATTTGTTCGAGGGAAAGATTATAATTAAAATCAGAAAAGGCAAGAAGTACGTAGAGTACAGTCAGAAAGCCAAAACAAAACCCTTGCCGAGGAGTGGCTTCTGACTCATGGTGACCCCATGTTTTGTGGAGTGGAACTGCTCCTGGCTACATCCTGAAAGAAGTAGATCTTCTGGCTTTGCTTCCAGGGATACGTCAGAATAGCCAAACTTTTAATAGTTGGGCACAAACCACTTGTACCACCTAGGGCCCTTGGGTAGAGTCTTGAGAGTACCACCACAAATCTTCCATTTCCTCTCCCAATGCACTCAAGAGATGTAACTTACCACCATTGATGTGTCAATACGCATGAAGATAGCCAACCAGGGAAGCTCACTCAGGCCTCAGTGTTCAGAGTTTTGATTGGGGCTTCATTATGAAGGCATGATGGATGGATTGATTGATTACCTAGGTGGCTGTGGTCAGTCTCCAGCCTTAACTCACATGGTTGATTTTTGGGTCATGCCAGCTCTCATTTTAAGATCATTCAGTGACTCAAGGTTCCCAGGCAAGCAAAGATATTCCCATAAGCGTAACAGCTCAAGAGCCCAGAGACTGAGTCACAGAGACAGAAGGTCACTTGGGAAAAGACCAAACAATTTACTACATATCTGTTCCCTTTTGCCCTAGGGGAGCTGAAGACTGGTGAACAAGCAGGCTGGTTTTGATGAAACTCATGAAACCTGCCTGCAGGAATGTTTTCGAAGTCAGACTATCTTATACCGTTTGATTTCCATCTCAATCAACAGGCAATTATCTTGAAGTGAGTTAACAAACTTCTCAAGAGCCATTCCAGACCCTAATGATGTTTCAGTTCCTTGTAGTGATGAGCAATGTAAAACAAGACAACTTCATGCATGGTTAGAACAGTGGTTAGAACGTCATGCCTGGCTGAAGTGAAGCAGAGGCTGGGGAGACGATGCAAGTGGCCAGAAGATATCCATCCATCTGACCGGATACCCACAAAGACTTTTAATTTTTTTGACTGAAAGAGAAAGGTAGACGTTGGTTCGCATGTGCCTAGGGGACAGAGGGGGGCTTGGAAACAATGGAGGAGATGATTTGGCTCTTTTGGGGCCCTGAGGTCACCAATAAATTAAATGGAGGAGGTTGAAGCATAATCTAAAGAAACTTTTCACTGGGTGCCAAGATCTACCTCTGGGCCCAGGTGACAGGTGGGCACAGCTGGAGGGGGAAGTCATCCTCTTTCTGTAGGGAGCTTGGTGACACCTGAAGAGAACATGGACTCATACGACATGCTGAGAAGTCCCAAGGTTCAATGCTCTGCAGAGAGCAGCCTTCTTCCCAATCGACAGACACAAGAAATGCCAGGAGAACCTGTGAGGTGGCAGTTATAGCCAACATGCAGGCTTCTTCCTGACTGCCCTTAGGTGCTGTCAGAGAGGCTCAGTACCACGGACTGCTGAACGGACAAGCAGATAAGTCTTGGAAGAAGTAAGGCCAGGGTGCTCCTTAGTGGTAAGAATGGGAGACGTCTCAGGTACTTTGGACATGTTGTCAGGAGAGACAGTCACTGGAGAAGGATGACATCATGCTGGGTAAAGTAGAGGGACAGCGAAAGAGAGCAAGACCCTCAGGAAATGGTTTGATGTAGTGGCTGCAGCAATGGGCTCAAGGATAGGAACAATTGTGAGGATGGCACCAGACTGGGCAATGATTTGTGCTGTTATGCATAAGGCTTGCTATGGGTAGCAATCGGCTTGACGGCACATAATAACAATAACTACACTGATTGTCACTCCTCATCCATACGGCGTCTCTTCCTTCTTTCGTCTCCCTCTCCCCACCTTTGTGCTATCAGAAGCCTTTCAGGAGACAAGAAAGTTGTCACTTCTCTACAGCATTTGGCATTTATTTGGTTTTTGACTTTTAATTGTGCATGAGGTAAATGTGTACAGTGCAGATAATTAGTTTTCCATTCAACGATGCGTACGTATTTTGTTTCAACTCATCTATTGCGACCCCTTCATGTACCATCATCGCTTTGATAAAGGCAGAATTCTGAACCTGAAAATACCATCTCCATTGGTCTGAATTGAAGAGTGAAATGATACTGGTGGAAATGGTTACTGTATATCTTTGAAACATCGAATTCTTTCCATTTTTCTTCTATGACAAGGCAAAGACCTCACAAAAGAACAACTCCTTCAGCCTTTACAAACCCATCTTGTCAGTGGGATGTACCTTCAGCAGGACTCCCCTCTGGAGAACAAAATGCTGTAACAGCGAAGAGAAGGTGGGGAATGATTAGGGAGAGCATTTGAAGGGGATAAAGCAAAAGTGAAGGAGAACCAACGGCAGATTCTACGGACTTCATATTTACATATCAGACTGCCGTGGTCACCACGATCAAGGAAGCCAACCGGACTTTGGCTTCTCCAATGATCTTATCATGAAATGATCCCCAAAGCACAATAGTTGAGTCCCCGAGTTCAAGTCTCAGTAGCTCCCCGGATGCCCCTTTCTTATAAGTACTATGTCCCTGAGGAAATTGCTTAACTTTTCTGCACTATTTTCTCATCTGTAAAATGGGCCAACAGTCATCCCTAGTCCATGGAGCTGATATAAATCTGGGAGCATACACATGCAGGGCTGGATAGAATGGCCATCCCATAGGGAATGCTCTGCAAGTGCTAGTTATTATGATGAGTTTTCCTAATTGACTTTTTCTATTGGACCTCAACCACCTGTAAGTATTTCCTGTGTTTCACCGAAGCTCCACAGGCACTTCCTCTGGCCCCCTCTAGCCCTGGGGTTGGATTTATGGACCCCCGGGGATTTCAGGCCTGCTAGGCAACTGGCTGGATAGAATTCAGAGGCGGAGAAAGCAGTTGCATTGTCCCCTGTGTCTTGGCTTCAATTTTTAATTTCACACAGAAGAAAATGGCTCGTGTTCCCAAAGACAATTACCGATTGCCAGAGTTCTGGCAGAACACGAGCCATCAACTCTGGCCCTCTCTTCTCTCTATCATCATCAACAACAAAGTGATGACTATTTTTGTCCTTCCCTTGGCACACAGTGGAGGGCTTATTCTCTCCGTTGGCCATGCCCCAGCCATCTGAACACTGGTAAGCACCTAAGTCTTTCAAAGTCATGGCCCCATCAACTAAAAATACGATGCCTAACACACTCTAAAAAGATTCCAGTTTAGCCTAATGAGAAGTAATTCTAGCCTACTTCCCTTGAAACCACTTCTTCAGCTTCGTTTCAGTCTTGCTTGCTCTTTTGCACTTTCACCGTGGTTGTGGAGGAAGGCAAAAGGAAGGTTTTTCACATCTGACTTTGCCAGAACATAATCTTTTCTAGCGTTTAGTGTCCTCCTACACATTTAACACATTGCGGCTTATCTCCCAGAGAAGCATGCAGCCTATTCTTCAGCTCTCTAAGGGAAAGAGACTCACCGAGAAGTAATAGAAAATAAGCCCAATTCTTTACCTACGCATCAGGTGTCAACAGGCACAAAGCTTTACTGCACCAAAAAAACAACAACAAGAAAAACCTGTCATGCAGAGGGTGATGGCTTCCAGGTTTAACACCTCCAAAAAGGACCCAAATAGCAGAAAGGAGGCTATTCTAAAACTATATTGAATCGTTCTAGTAGAAAATCTGAAAGCTGGAAAGTGCTAGGAAAAGCGAAGTTCAATTAAATATCATTTGTCTCTGAGAGTCCATTTAGCTTCATGCAGGGAGCGTGAAGGCTCCATGGTGAAGTTCTGGATGAGGAGAGATGGCGTCATTCAAAGGCAAAGAAGTTAACTGGGGTTTTGCATGGGTGGGTGAAGATCCGGACGATTTGTAAAGTGTCCATGTCCACCAAGAGCTATTCTTCCGGAGGAATCCAAGAGTGTTCTTGGCTTGATACGAGGCCTTGTGGCATAGTGGATGCGAGGCCCAAGGTCGGTGGTTCAAACCCACCAGCCTCTCCACTGGAGAAACACGAGCCTTTCCTACTCCCAGGAAGATCTCAGCCTCAGGCACCCTACCGAGCAGCACTCCTTGGCCTTAGAGAGAGAGGCTCACTTATAGTCACAATCAACTGTGTGGCAGTCAGTTTTATCTGGACATCAAAAAGACATAAACCGACGTCGTGTCCTGAGTCTCCCACTTTCTCCATCTCAGCCCTGTCATCTGCTCAATGTGCCACCTTCTGAAATCCCTTCTCCCTCA